AAAAAAAAACTCATCACACATGCAGAGAAAGATATGAAGAGTCTGATTATTCCAGACATTACAAGCGCTACAACACCGAGAGCTGCTCGGAGGAGGAAACAGCTGTGCTGCAGCACAAGGTCATAGATCCATAATCCTGCACTGCGCGACGCTAGATTAAAAACTCCCAGTTTTGATTAAGAAAGCAGGGTTAGAGGATTACGGTCCAGTGAACAAAAATGAAAGCAGTTTTAAACTCAATCCCAGAGTTCATCAAAAATACAAACCTCAGACTGTCATCTCAACCGCAGATTAATGCAAAAGCTCCTTTCAAGCTTCTGTGCAGCTCATACTGTCATTCAGCAGAAGAGATGCTATGTTACAGTGTCTTACTACAAAAAAAGTCCGAATTATGAGATAAAAAGCCATTATAACATGAAGTCCAATTTTAACATCTTATCTCACAAATTAATGTCAAAATTCAGAATTTTTGTCACCAGTAGTCTTTTTATTTCATAATTATGATGATTTTCTAAATGAAAAGAATACATAATTGTCATAATTTTCAAATTATGTCAGTTATAACCTTTTATCTCAATTATTTTTTGTCAATTGAGACTTTTTAAACTCGCAATTACAACAGTACGTCATAATTGTGATTTTATTTCAATTTGGTCTTTCGTGTAGTAGTAATTATGACTTTTTATCTTGCAATTATGATTTTCCAAAGCAATACTGTACTATTCCCTTATTCAATAACTAGACAAAATGTGTGAAAATGAGCTTATATTGTTTATGATGAAAAAAGTGCATTTTAAAAGGTTTCAAAAGGTTACTTATAGCAAATAAAATGTTTGAACATTTGTGCATTAGATCAAGCATCTATATTTGCATGCAATTTTCACTCAGTTTCTTTTACATTTTTTTTGTCCCTGAGAAATACATTTTTAAAAATCAGTGTAAAAAGTGTGTACATTTTACCCAGATCTGTGGAGATTGACATGTTTGTTTTCACCTTAAGTTTCATCTCATGGACAGATTCAGGGTTTATGAAGGGTGGAAGAAATGAGAGTGCAAGACCAGTTTCCATTTGGCCTTCTCTGACTTAAAAATCCCATTTGATGGGAGGCAGAAATCACACACACTGTATGAGACATCTGATCTGATCTTCATTTGCATGGAATCATTTCACAGGTCTCTTATGAACTCAGAAATGATTCTTTTGATGGGCCGAGCCCTGAAGCCAGCGCTCATAATCATATGGAAATTGTGAGACATGAGAAGTGAAAAACTGACAAAAACTGGCACATTCACTGCAGATATCAGAGGTTTCAAGGAGGACTTTACCAAACCTGTGGAGAGATGTCAGGCACTCAAAGAAGCTCCATAGTACCTCCATATGGTCACATGTCCTTCAA